AAATGAAGAACTACATGAAAAAAAAAAAAGAAAAACTGACTGGGTGTCCAGATTGCAAGATTGCATATGTTCCTCTTGTGTTAAACTTTCTTTTTAATACTGAGGAGGCTTCTTTACCTGCACCTTGCTTTATAACAATATTAAAATTTTCTATTAATGAATATAAAAGACTTTTATACATTAAATAGTTTAAATAAAGTTTGGGAATAATTGCTTTTAGGATTAACAAAATGAGCCTAGTTGGTATGGCTCAGTGGATTGAGCATTGTCCCATGGGAGGTCTTGGTTCAATTTCTGGTCAGGGCACATGACTGGGTTGTGAGCCTAATCCCCAGTAGGGGATGTGCAGGAGGCATTCGATTGATATTTCTCTCTCACATCGATGTTTCTATCTCTATCTCCCTAAATATAAATAAATAAATAAATAAATAAATAAATAAATAAATAAATATAAGATTACCAAGATGAATCTTTTAGTAAACTTAAATGCCTTCAAATGTATCTAAATTACAGATTCAACCTTTCCCACATATTGGTTTTCCTAAAGGAATAGTTATTTCTAAAAACATTCATTTGCTTGATTAAGTCCTAAATAGAAAGTTGGGCTGTGTTCAACATTTTATACAAACATTCTGTGGCCACCCAACTTATTCTGTGCTGAGCACACTGTGCTAAGGAGGGGGCACCAGGTTTTCATCAACCGCTGAAAGTTAAAGCTGCCCCATTTCCTGGAAGAAGTGGCCAAGATGTAAGTAGGAAGCCTGATTCAAGAATACATTAAACTGAAATGAAAGTGGTAATTTTCTGCAGTCTCTGATAAAATTCTATTGAGTAGTATCAGCAAAATGACTACTTTAAGTCAGTTTGATTTCTGCTACTTCAAGGTCCAATTTGAACAAATTTTTCTTCTTTCCCATTGTATTGCAAATATAATTATTCAGTATCACCCTTGTTTACATGTTGTGGGTATAGAATAGTTTTAAGTACCATGATATGAAAATAAAAAATGCAATTATGACTCTTGTTTTTTAATAACAGGAACAAAACAGATTCTTCATTATGTGTAACATATATAGGTTGATGGTTCACTATAATTTTTTTTTAGATAAACCTGATTCATTTAATTGGGTCAAGTTATTTTTTAAGATGATCCACAGTAAATCCTTTAAAATGTTCTTAATCTCTTTAAATGTATCCCCCAAATTACAAATCAGGTAATGAAGTTGTTTCTTACTGCCAACTACACCATATTCAACATAAAAGTTGATATGCTCTGGTCTTTTATATTCCCAACTGATATTGGCATAGGTCTCAGCAGCTGCGACAGTAAGTTTGCTGGTCCTGGGATTTACTTCTTGAAATAAATATACAATAGAAAAAGAAAATAAACAATCAAATTGCAACACCATATAAACAAATATAAAATACTTTTAAGTACTCTGAAACTGAACATAAAACAAAATTAGAATTCACTGCTGAAATTTAGGGTTCACTCATACTTCACTGTCATTACACATAGGTTTTTCATTTATTAAACTACAGCATTAGGAAGTAAACCAGTAATCAGAAATAATGATGCACAATGTTAACGTTTATGAGTTCTATTATATGGGCCCTGAATGATGTGAACTGTTGTCCATTAGATACAATCCCAGGAAACATCAAAGTCTTCATTTACTAATATACAATGGAGTGTGGGACTACTGAACAATGCTGGGGATGGGGCAGTAGGAGAGAGAGAGAGAGAGAGAGACAGAGAGAGAGAGAGAGAGAGAGAGAGAGAGAGAGAGAGAGAGAGAGAAACATCGATGCAAGAGAGACATATCAATTGATTGCTTCCTGAATGTGCCCCTACCAGGCTGGGGATGGAACATGCAACTCGGGCATGTGTCCTTGATACAGAATCAAACCCGAGATGCTTCAGTGCATGGACAGATGCTCTAATCACTGAGCTACGTTGGCCAAGGATATTATTACTCTCTTTGTGAAGTTTTCCTAATCCTGTTTGGCAAAATAAATACTCTATTCATCTATTTTCATGTAATATTTTGTTCAAATAACTGTTTAGCATCTATTTTTACTCTTTTTCATGCACTGGTCTTCACTGGCTATATTTTACCATCTAGATACACACTGTGTTATAAAAAGCTATTGCACTGTATGTGCTAGGTAGACATTAGCTGCTGAACTTGATCCAACCTTCTATGTAGTCTTTTTTGTTGTTGTTCAGGCCAAATAAAATTGTAAACTTTACACTTCATTTTAATTTACTGGTTCTTTCTTTCTTTATTTATTTATTTTCTGTTTCTTGACTTAATTGGTCGTGGTGGGACCAACTCTGATATAATCGTATAGTGAGGTTCTGACTACAGAGATGATGTCACCAGATCCTCAGTGCCTTCCTCTTAATTAACAGTCAGCTGCTAATTTGGTCAAGAATCAGGTTCAGTTTCTGACTTGCCACTTAGTTTCCCCCTATTCCTGTGCCCAACCTAGTCACTTCACAAAAATGCTCTGAAGACTGGCCCCAAGGGTGAGAAAATAAAAGCTATGTATAAAGCAGTGCCCATCATCAGCAATACTGAGACCTTAACTCAAGTCCATTATCTGCGTGCTTTGGTTCATTTTTACAGATGCCTTCACAGGTCTGTTTCCTAGAGCACCAGATATAAAACTGCTTAAAGGGACACAGAAATTGAACAAATGCAACCAAACAACTAAAATTCTTACAGAGATATTGAAAACAAAACAAAGACATAGATCAAGATAAGTAAGGGGCTCCTATGGATCTCAAGAGTATTTCTACAGTCCAGTTGAGGAGACTGGTAAGGAAACAGGAAAGTAGGCATAATATGACTAAATGAATTATCCTGGCTTCTCCTTTGTAGTTTAAATAATCCTTTTTGTAATTATATATTTGTAAGCTTGGGTTTCATTAACATCTCTTAAAATCTGTCAGAAAGTTAAAAAATGTAAACTTAGATGCATTTCTTTTCTCCTCTTTGGTCAGAAGTTAATTAAAATCACTAGTGTCTGGTGCTTCTATAGCTAAGTCTATCACAGGTTTTCTTTCAATGATTTATCTCTTCTTTAGTTTCTTTCATGTTGCTTTAAATTAAGATATAAAAATATGTAAAAATATTCAGATTTGGAAGGCTGGTGGAGCACTTCTAGGTTTCTTTCTCAGGGAGTATATAAACTCCACCTGGAGAAGGAACATAAAGAAGATAACATTTATTCTTGGATTGAAAAGAGAAATATTTTTAAGAGAAGAAAACCCAGGATAACAAATTCTTTCTAATCAACTTAAAGTCTTATATGTAAAATGTCATCATTTTATGCAAGCAAGGTTTAATTACTGCACTATTAAAAGAAACAATATAGAAAATAAGAGCAGATTTAGCTTTCTTTTAAAATTTAAATCCTATTTCTCTTCTTATCTAAGAGCCACCAGATTTCAACGCTGGAGGCTTCAAGAACCTTCTGACACTCAATTTTTACTTGTCTCTATAATCATAAGTAATTCACAATTCAATTTAGTAACGTTAAATGGTAAACCCTAAACTGTTTTAATAAATATTTTAGTTGGTTTTAATTCATTAAAACAAACAGGTGACGTTTCTTCGAGTGGACTGCATGTCCTATTCTAACATGACAAGTCCATGGAAATGATGACCTGCTTCGCAGGCAGCCTGATGCATCACAGTTTTGTGCTCTGCTGTCGACCCAGGCAGAGTGTCAGTGATGCCCACTGCACAGGGAAAGAGGTCAGGTTTTCTCTGGAATGCTTCTAGGAAAGGTTATGAGGGGACCTGGCAGTAAATCATTGTAAAACAACCAAGGATTCAAATTGATATCTAATTATCTCAGGAAGAAAGAATATATATAAAAGAGAGGTTTACATCTTTCTACAATATTGTGGAAATTTTGTTCAAGTCTAGAAACACATATATAACATATTAAGATTACCAAAAGTGGCCACAGTTACTCAATCACTCCAAAATCTATCTAAACTACATTTTATAATTTACAACACTCTGAATATAAGCAGATTTATAAGAAAATAGAAGACATATATCAGGCTTGAGCTCACAAGACTTGAATAATTTAGGATAAAGAACTTATTTCTCTGTCTTTTTCTTCATTCCTATTGTACTCATTTAGTCTGCCAACACCCAAGAAAACCCCTGGCCAGGGGTGCTCCACATGGAAAAAGTGTCCAAAGCTAACAGACCCCCCAGTAGCCAAAAGTCAAAGACTGGGGATCTTTGGGACTGCCTCACGTGGAAGACATATTACAACTCATTCAAGCACCATTCTCCCAACAAATCTTTCTCACCCACAGAGCTGTGAGAAATAGAGGAGAACAAAAGTAATCCATTGTGATGACTGGCTATTACCCAGGAGGAGACTTCAGTAGTTTGGTGACAACAGGATGGAGTGACACAACGGAGGAGAGCATGCAGGAAGACTGAAAGACTTGCTCATGGGGACACTTTCAGTCCCTGGCCAGTTAGAGTGTATTGCTAAGCCAAAGTTTCAAATGGGCAATGTAGTATAATGTCAGCAAAGTGTACACTGTGTCTATGAGAAGTACAGCTAAATCAGATTAGAATGGAAAGCTCAGTTGATTTGATTTCTCACAGGCTATTTTCATCACAGGACTAGTATTTCTGAAACTTTCATATGTGGCATGGCCATATAGAGGATCTGTAACATATCCACAGTTTTGGTCCTGTCTGATCCAGCCACAACCATATCAGTAAAAAGCTAAAATTAAGATTTGCACCAGGGATAAATCTTCAGAAAAGTCTGAGAAAAATTTAATGTGTGGTTTTCTATTTGTAAAAAAGACTAAAGCCAAGATCTTTCAAGATCTTCTCTTTCTTTTGGTGCTTCAAAGCTTATTTTATTTTCTCTTTTAACCCATGCTGCACTTCCCCATGTTTAACATTGCAAATTTCACACATGTATAAAGTCATGCAGATGAATTATTTTACCTTTGCCTGCACCTACATCAGGTGGAAGAATACCAGCTTTAATGAAATAGGAAACAGAAATAGGACACTATATAGTTAAATGTAACACACCCATCAGCATGTAAAGCTATACAAAAACACTTATTAAAATGTTAAAGCATGCAAGAAGAATGAAGTGTAGCATATCAAGTACAGGGGACAAAGACATGTTGGTGTCCCCAAACTTACCCCGTAATCAAATCCACACTTTAGTTAAGGTACATTATTTATACTTGCCTATTATATAAGAAGGCTTAGGATATCTGAAACCAATGTTGGGGTAGAAATGTCAATTTCTTATGCTATGGAAGATAATCAAATAATATTCCTTAGGCAATTCTACAATTTAGAGAATGCAAAAAGAGAAAATGTTTTATAATATTTTTATTGAATCTAAAGTTTTTCAAAATAATTTTTAAAAGTATGAAACAAAGTGTTAATTCCTTTTCTAGGTACTTTAATGGGGCTATTTTGTTTTCTCTATACCAGATGGCCTACCAAGGTACAAAGTCCCATGCTCAAACACAAAATGAATGCACTATTTAATTAGTGTTTCAATTTCATTGCTAGAAAGCCTAAATTAATATGTACTCTAGCAAATTATTTTCTGGTGAACCAAAACAAGAACTAGAATTACTTATATTTATTTATGTATATGTATGTATGTATGTGTGTGTGTGCATATATATTGTATTACATGTATGTGTATGTACATGTTTGTGTATGTATATATGTAAAGTTGTAGAAAGGAAAAACAGTGCCTTGAACTTTGAATTCAAGTGTGGCGAAATATTGTAATTTTTCACTCTCACCTCAATATTTTAATATGCTTAAAATTTTCATATGGGCTAGGAAAACAAATATCAAGTTATTATTCTAATAGGAATTAAAGAATTGATTTCATATATATATCTGAATGAGAAATTACAAATAAGTGTTTGTATTAATTGGGTAAGATGAACACTCCATGGTTAGAAGAAAAGAGAAAGCATAAATTTAAGTTAAAGATTTTTGTTTCATAATACTTATAGTTTTATGAATTTTATACATACCCATCTTACCTTCATCCATAATTGTTACTGCTTCCTCTGTTATTTGACTTCCTGATCCTGCTGATGTTTGTGCATAGAAATAAAACTTATACCGAGTGCTGAAATTTAAGTTTTTTAAAGTCCAACGTGTCTTGTTGGCAGGAATTTTCAAATCTATCAGTGGGCCTAATTCATGGGTACTGTTAACTGTCAAGAAGAAATAATAAAAAAAGAACATTTTCCATTAATTGCTACAGGAATACTATTATAAATAAATGTGTCCACCAAAAATGACAAGCTTAATTACACCGATTTTTGTAACCCTACTCACTTTTCGTCCAACATAACTGATAACCTTTTACAGCTCCTATAATATAGCATATCAAGGGGAAGTATTTTCTCCATTGGTTTCTAAGCTAAGGGACTTGTATAGTTGAATCACAGTAGTATTTCTCATCTCAGTGTTTTTGCAGATGGAGTCATGTATTGTTAAATAATTGCAAACCTCATTTTCAGAGGACTTGTGACAGAGGAGCCCCTCTTCTTAATATTTTCTAATTATAGATAATGTCTACCCAATCTAACTATTGCACCCACCTAAACCCCATGCTCAAAGGTCTGTATTAATCCACAGAATATTTAATTTTCAATACCACATATGTAATTTTTCTTTTAAAATATGATTTGAAGTTCTTTCTGGAATAACACTTAAAGGTATATGTATATATTCTACAGTTTTAAGAAATGATCCGTTAGTTTCACTTATCTGTGGAATATAATGAACATAACAGTCTCAGGAATGGAGTAGTCCCAGAGACGTGGAAGTGGGGCACAGACTGACAATCCCCAGAAGAGGAGGTGGTGGGGGAGAGATAAACCACAGAACTTACATGCGTGTATGCATGAACAATGGACATGGACAACAAAGCTGGGGACAGAGCGGGGAGGGGGAGAGGGGGAATCAGTGGGGGAAAAAGGAGAAACATCTATAACAAAAATAAATTAATTAATTAATACAAAAATAGAAAAAAGAAATGATCAGTTGGTATTTTAAGATAATAGTTAAGTTTTCCTTTTCCTTTTCCTTTTAAAATGATGTTTTCCCTTTTTTCTTCTCCAAATAACTTACTTGGCTGATATTTTAAGGTGTACTCTGTCAAAATGCCATTCGGGTGGCTTGGTGGATCCCATTCCAAAGTGAGAGAGTCTAGTGTTGGATTAACAATCTTCAAAGAGGATGGGGCACTGGGAACTTACAATGAGAACACAGTTAACAAAAAGGTTTTTTAATGTTTTAAAATGTATTAAAATGACATATTTCACACAATTCATCAAGGTTTTTGTTTTTTGAAACACATTTTTGTTCCTGATTCAGCTGAAAATACATTGATAGAAACCTGTGACAGGTGCCCATTTATCCAGTCTCTTCCTCTTTTTTTTCCTCACTATTTCCATTTAGATTAATTAAAACCATTCTCTCAAAATACATAGACTTTGCTTTTAAGTGGACCCAAACCAATATTTTTAAGAGACAATAATTTTAATAAAATTTTAAAAAGAAACTGTACTTATTTGTTGCATGAATGATGTCTTAATAAAAGCAAACTAGTGGTCCTGGCCAGGTAGCTCAATTGCTTAGAGTGTTGTCCCGATATACCAAAGTTGCAGGCTTGATCTCTGGTCAGGGCACATACAAAAAGCCACTAATAAATGCATAGATAAGCAGAACAACAAATTGATGTTTCTCTCTCTCTCTCTCCCCCTTCCTCTCTCTCTCTAAAATCAGTCAATAAATAATTTTAAAAGTATTATTATGCTAAGTGAAATAAGGTGAGGCTGGGGCTAGGTGGAGGGGGGCAAAGGGGGAAAATGGGGGACATCTGTAACACAGTCAGCAATAAAAAAAATTTACTTTATTATTTGTATAATAAAAGTCTATTGGAACTCAAAAAAAGATAAATAAAAGGGAACTAGTGACTAAGTAAAACTATTCTAACATGACCTTTCAGTAGAAGCAGCTGTGTTCTGGGCTATTAAGGGCTGTTTTCCCCAACAAACCAGGTGTCTCCAAACAACCTGCCTGCTGGTTCTTGGCATGAGCCAGCCTGCCCAGGTGCAGAGTACTTCTCATCCAGAGAGCAGACAGACACCCAGAATCTTGTGGTGGTGAACAAAAACCCCAGTGCTGGCAAACCCGGGCTCTGGGGCAGGCCTGCAGGGTGTCAGGTTCTCTGTGGCAGAGGTTGGCAAATTACCAGAGGAGACATGCCTTGGCTTCTTTTATTCATTTCTTCAAGAAGATGATAGATGGTGTCAGTTCTCTCTCATGATCATTACCCCCTCTACCCAACCTACCACATTCCCTAGACCTATTAATGGCACCACTATCTTGCCTGTCACTATAGCCAGAAACCAGGGAGTCATCCTGAATTACTCCCTCTGCCTCATTGCCACCATCTCCTGGGACACTAAATCTTGTCAATTCCACCTCATTCATCTCAACCTTATCTATTCCATCCTCTGCTCTCTGCCACCATCCCACGTCAGGGCCTCCATGGCCTTTGCCTGGGCCTAGAACATACCCGGCATAGTTCTGAGCTTCCCCAAACCAACTAGTGGTTCCTAACTTTGGAAGATCACAGATCCCTTTGAGACTCTGATGACAACCATAAATACTCCCTGGAAAAATATATACCTTTTTCTACAATACTGGGGTTCATGGAGCTCCTTAAACCCATTCATTGATCCCCTGTGAGACTACAGTCTCCAGGATAAGAGCCTCTGGTTTAATATCCACAACATTTAAGACCATTTATGATATGGGTCCTCCCTAGCTGACCTTCGCCTCTTTTCTCACCATTTCTGGCTACACAATTTGCAGTTCCCTGAAGGAGCCACGCTGTTTCATACCTTTGTGTCTTTGAACATACTACTTCCTCTCTTCATTCCCTGGTCATCTCTTCTATGACACCTTCCCCTGCACCATCAAGGACCAGCATGGAGTCTCACTAGGGAAAGCCTTGAGTGGAAGGAGCCCTTAACCAATAAGGAACAATGGGATCGATGACCAGCAATCATAATGAGATGGGAGCCAGGACACAGGATGACTTCAGAGACTGTTGAGAAGCTGCTGACATCATGAGCCCTTCAACCATGAGCCAAGACAGAATTTGTCTATGGACTGCTTTTACCTAAAATAACTAAAGAATCCATTGAAGTTTTCCAGCTCATTTTGAATGCTGGCTTGAGGCAAAATTCAAAATAGATAAGGCCGATTTTCAGTACCTTTTCAAATTCTTATCTTTCTTACTTATGGCCCCTCTCTCCCTCATCTTGTGTCCCATCCAAACTCCTCCTGCCCTACTCCCACACAACATATACATGGCCTCTCTTCCTTTTCCCTTTGCAGTGGTCCATGTTTCAGTGACTTTCCCTTCACTTCCCAACTTGTTTTGTCAAGACTTCCAACCTCTAACTCAGCTCATGTTTAGCATAAATTATGCAGGGGCACTGAGAAAGAAATAAATCATGACTTATAAATTATTTTCTTTTCTAGATGTTTTTCTTAGGGTATCACATTTAGTTCCCACGCTTTTCAGATGAAGTAATTGAGGCTTATAGAAGTTATATAACTTACTTCCAGTCAGGAAGTTAATGATCGAAATAAACCAAATTAGCAAGGTTTCTGACAGTGTGACTGAGTGTGGAGAAAAAAAAATTAAGTCAAGAGAGAGAGGATTTTAGGGCAGCATTTTGTGATCTGAAGCCTTCATACCCTCAGTCCATATCTGAGCTGACACTTTGTCAGCTTGTGCACAGTGTGTTAATCTATGGGAAAATCACATTTGGCTTCCAGAATATACTTTTTTGGGGGGCCCTTCTGTCATGCAAAGCCTCTCAGCATATGCCACATGTTGTTAGGATCTGAAAGACACATCCAACTCATACCTCCTTCTGGAGTATGAAAGACTCTGGTGGGGCTGGCTGGGCCCTCCCCTTTCCCATTGACCACGCGGACATGCAGTGTGTAGTGGCTGAAGGGCTCCAGCCCGGGCAACATGCCATGGGTCTTGCTGCCCTGGAAAGTGAGGATCTTTTTCTCTATGTGGCGTCTGTTTCTTTTTGATGAACTCTGGGCCTTCCAGTAGTAAATCTGAAGCAGCAAGAATAAATGTCAGGGTTGTATAAGGGAGCAAACAAGATTAAAGTTTTATGTTGTTGTTTTTTTCCTCAGAAAGTGAAGCTTTTATTATTATTATTATTGAAGATTACTAACAAAACTGAGAAATACTATCCTGAGGTAAGAGAGTAAGAAGCCCACAGATAATGAGGAAAGTCAAATTAAGAATATGTGGTGAAACTGGGCTATATACTATTTTGTTAGAGGAGTATAAGTGAAATAAATGAAAATGCATGACACCTAAACAGCACTCTCTAAAAGACAATAGAAGGATTTAAGTGTCTTACTTCTATAAAATATTCTAAAAGAAAAAATTACTGGCCAATATTTATATACTTTTCCAGAGTTAATAAAACTTCATATATAATATATCATTCACTCTACTTGAAAACCACAGTGAAGCTTTTATTATTATTATTCCTATAGTACAAATGAGCCTTGGGTTACCGAGTGACTTGTCCAAAGCCACAGGGTTATTAGGAGAGACTGAACTCTCCTCCATACCAAGTCTATGGCTGTCACACGTATTTTTTGTAGTATATTATAGTTGATTAACAAAGTATAGATTAACATTGGCTAAAAATCCAGAATTTTGTTTATTAAGTCCTCTTAAGTTTTTAGCAGTTTAAAGGCATTTTTAAGAGAACTCAACATGTATTGAATCTAGCAATGTTAGAAAAAAAGCAAAATTGAACATGGTGCAGTGCAAAAAGTGACCTCTAGGAGTCAGGGTTAACAAATCAAAGGAGGGACTTTTTGTGGATGTAAAAACAGTTGACTATCAATTAAAAAAAAAAAAAATCTTTATACACCAGTCTTTCTGTGCTGCCCAAGAACAAAGATGATTGGTGTTCATAAGAATCACAGTTGGTACTATATGATCTTAAAGTTTAATCTTAATTATTTTTTAAAAAGTCTACATTATTTTCAGGATAATTTGTGTGGTCAGCATAGTTTTTAAGTTAGGTGCATTTTATTATATCTAGTTTTCTAAACATTAGTTTTCCTCATTTTTTGCGTATGTTAATTGCTTAATTGGCAAAATCTTGGATAATCTGTGGGAAAAATGGAGAAAAAAATTTTCTCATTTTGGATGCAGTGAGATTTTGATTCAGTTTTAGCTGGGGTTGTTTAGGTGTGGCCTGCCTGAAGCGATAAACCAGAGGAACTCTAAACAACTCCTCCAACCAAGAAGAGTGCATTTGGCATTCACTGCCAGTCTGTTCCTAAGGAAAGAAGAGGGAAGGTCTCCCTTCGTTTTACCCGATAGCCTTGCAGGTGTCCTCGGATACTTTTCAGAGGTACTGGGTCCCAGTGCACCTCAGCTAAGGTGCTGTTTACCACGTTCACATGCACATTCCCAGGAGCCACCATTGGGACTAGAGAAAGACAGGGAAAGAGGATAAAGTATCAATGTTATTTTGAATTTCATGCAAAAATGTCACTGTCTAATAATTTTGGTTTCAATGAAGCATGCCCCAGCCCTATTCTATAAATTATCAAGGATTCAGAGTAGATTTTTTATATCTGTTCACTTTGTAAGAATAATATCTTTAAAAAATAACTTTTAATATTCTGAACCTATTTTCTACATAGTAGGCTATTTAAATTCAGAAATGTTGAACAAATTAATTGCTGCCTCTCTTCCTCCCTTTCTAAGCACCTCTGGAAATAGACTTGATTTGCACTTTGGTAAGTCTATTTTGCTGGGGAAAAGTATAAAAAAAAAATAAACAGTGTCAGACACTTACGGTCTTCTCCAGAATGTCCCATAACTACAGCTGGCTCTGGAGCGAAGCCCACATCATTCAGAGCTTGAACTTTTATCAGGTATGGAACAAAAGTTGGTGTGCCCGAGACAATATATTTGGATACATTTGCCACAACCACAGATGTCCATTCATCATCACCATCTTTTTGGCGCCAGCTCACTTTGTACTGAAGGCCTGGCCCATTAGATTCAAAACCATTCAAGGGCTACAAGAAAAGTAAAATAATCAGAACTTATAAAATACACTGCTGACTGCACAACCTTTTACAGGAACAGCAAAACCAATTAAAACCTATTCCCACACTTAAAGTAAGCAATGAAACACTGCAGTATAAGCTAGAAATATTCTCAGGGAGTTTTTGTTGTTGTTGTTGCTGTTCATTTTTCTCTGGACCACAGGCCGACGCTCTAACCGCTGAGCCAAACTGGCCAGGGCTGTTGTTCATTTTTAATGAAAAAAGCTTGTTTGGGGTCAACATTTAAAAAGTTTTTAATTTCTATCTTGAAGTAGTATATACCACATAAGCCTCCCAAACTGGCTCCACAGTCAAGGGTGGATGACTGAAAACATTGTTATACAGGTTCCTTTATATAGTCCTATTTGTGTGACAGTACATCACTGTCTATCTCACTTGGAAAATGCTTATTTCTTTATTTAAAAAAAGTTGGTTTGTCACACTGTCCTGTTTCTACATGTATGCATGTATATATGTACAAATATAAGTTTGCATGAAAAGATCTATCTAAAATAAGTTTTAAAATTATGTATTAATTTTCCAAGTCCAGACAACACAGATAAGCTAAAAAAAAATAAGAAGAAGAAAAAAAAAAGTTGGCTACTGGGAAAAACTTGGTACATGTCTTCTAGATGGTTCTATATAACAATAATACTACTAGGTAGCATTTATTGAGCACATGTATGTGCTAGGCACTGTTCTAGGCATTATATATATTAACTCCTTCATTCTTATGAAGATGGTTCTATTATTATTACAGCTATACAAATACATAATGGAGATGTTAAACAACTGGCTTAAAGCCACACAGTAAGAAACTGGGATTTGTACTCATTCATTTTTGCTCCAAGGATCAAGATGTTAACTTCTCCATAATACTGTCTTTTTGTTGTTAGTCCTCACCCGAGAATATTTTTTCCATTGATTTACAGAGAGAGTGGAAGGGAGGAGATGGGGGGTGGTGAGAGAGTGAGAGAGAGGAGAGAGAGAAACATTGATGTGAGAGACACATTATTGGTTGCCACACATATGTGCCCTGACCAGGTTTGGGGATTGAACCTGCAACCCAGGTACATGCCCTTGACTGGGAATTGAACCTGTGACCCTTTGGTGTGCATGACTATGCTCTCACCACTGAGCCATGCTGGCCAGGGCCAAAAATACTGTCTTTTAAATAAAGATATATAATATAGATTTCCCCCCAAAATGGGTAAAATGGGATTTAATACAGATATTATTTTAAAACTAGTTTTATTTCACTCTAAAGTAAACTGAGGAAAGTTGAAGTCTTTAAACAGAGCTCACCTGCCATGTAATCACCAAATTATCAGGCTCTGATCCTAGTCCTTCCACAGTCATGGGATTTTTATCCGGTTCTAGAAGTTAAAGCAGCCACATACATGTGAACTTTGGTCTTTTTCAAACCATGGACAACTTTTCTATTTTATTTCATATCACAAAAGTCTTGCTTTACCTGCAGCTTTAGTAAAATACTGTTCAGATATCTCGCTGGGCAAGCTCCTCCCGAGGCTGTTCTCTGCCATCACTCGGAAGGAGTAGTTCACATAAGGTGACAGCTTCAGCTGGGCTGTAGTCTGTGTCCCAGGAACTTCAGTTTGGTAGTGCCATAGCCCTGCTTCATGCATTGCATCTTCATATTCAATAATGAATTCTAGACATAACATGCACACAAAACAAATAAAGACAGTAAATTCAGTCACTTAAGAGTAGATTGCTAGAATAACTAATAATTTAAGATGAGTAGACAAACATACATTATTTCACTTTCAAGAAATATTTCATTAGAATATTTTGATTTCAGAGTTCAATCATCATCCTCAGTACTTAAGCATACCCAATAATATTTCTCTAGCAAGCTGAGTTTAGTTAATTAAAACTCTTAGAAGGGATCCATATATATATTCCTAGGAAAGTTTAAATATATGAAAAGATGGTCAGTTTTTTTCATAATAGAAATTAAATTAAATACAGTGAGAAACCATTTTCCACTAACCAGACTGGTAACAATCAAAAGTTGAATACATTTTATTGACTATGACTCAGGAAACAAATATTCTTATACTCTGTGGGAGGTGTAAAATGGTATAACTTCTATAGAGGACAATTTCAAACATCTAACTCAATACCCTTTGATTGCGAAATTTTACTTCTAGCAATTTATTTCAAATAAATGCACTCATGCATATGCTCACATACACATAAAAAAGAACCCACATTGCAGCATGGTCCACAGTTGAAATAACCTAATTGCAAACGACCCAAATGTTCAATAGGACATTAAATAAATAAATTATGGTACACCCTCACAATGGAATACTCTGCTGCTATTAAAAAAATGGAGCAGTTCCATATGTACTAAAATGGAATAATGTCTACAATATATTGTTGAGTCAAACCAAGTAGGATATAGAACACTGTGTGCTTGAAACTACACTTGTGTAAAAGTTAAAATATTTACTTTGATACATACAAATTCATATATGCTTGAATATACATGTATTACCTCTCAGAGGATACATACATACCACTGGTGTTGCTGAGGAACTAGAAATCAGGGGTGGGAGGAAGACTCACTTTTCAGTGCATACCCTCTTGCATCTACCAAAATTTTGTGGTATGTACATGTTTTACTCTTGTAAAAAATAGCTATTTAAATATTCATTAAATTGCCTACTATGTGCCATGTACAATAACATGAATTATAGATACAGAAATGAACTAGAAACATCATGTGTTATAGTGCTCTGAAGCTCAATACTTAGGGTTCTCCTTTCAATCTACATTAATTTGGAGGTGATCCTTGCTTTTTATTACAGCAGACATTGCAGAGATGTGACATCATTATAATAAGATGTAGCAATATCAATGCAAAACCATAAACTGCCTGAAGCTAATATTTCATGTGGTGCCTGACAGATGTCACCATTTTTTAAATATCAAAATTAAAAAATAAAAAACTTTAAAAATATCCTGAAGCACCCCTCTGAGCGTGTGATTTGCTAAGGTTCCCACAGGGTACTTCAATGCAGTTTGAGAACTAAGAGACTATTTTCAATCAAATAATCACAATGATCCATGAATCACTCCTCTACTTAAATCCCTCCAGTGACTTTCCAAACCTTTATAATTGCCTACAAGGCCTTGCAATTTCACACTCCACCCCCACTCACCAACTTTAGCTCTTTGACCTTCTCTCCTACTTTGTTTTGTTGTTCAATTCACTCCAGCCACACTGGCATCCTAGCAGACATCTCCCTGTTCTAGGATCTTTGCTTTTTCTTACTCTGTCGGGAAAGATTTTCCCTCAGAAACTGCAGAGTGTGTTCACTTTCTCCCTTCTCATGTCTTTATTGAGATATTCAAATGTTACCTTCTTAATGTGTCCTTTCCTGACCACCATATTCATAATTATCCCCCTGACCCCTATATTCCTTAACCTCCTTCACATGCTTTGTTTTTTTCTGCATGACCTAAACATATACCACAAACACACAACACATATACACATGCACAATCATGTGTACAGATATATAAGTGTTTGAGTCCTTTAAAAAGCAGATGCTAAGACAGAATTAGAAGTGCAAGAGACTTTTGGGGGGAAATGACTATGGAAGATAAAAGAGAGAGAAAACAGGAATAGGCAGGGAAGATCTTCAGACCACAATACAGGTCTGATGTCAGTGAAAGGAGAGGGAAAGGAAGGAACAGTGTGTAGGAAAAGCCTCAGACTGCAGTATTGTCTCAGCCAGGTCAACAAGGAGCCCAGAGTAAAGTTCTGTGCTGGTGTGGCTGAGCTCTAGAACCCTCGCTGTGCTCAGTCACTGGAGTAGCTCAGGAAGAGAGTGGCCTTACATGAATACTGTAGGTCTTTGGGGAAGGTGCCGCTGATGGAGCCTGCTGTTAACACTGCTTGCAGCAGGTTCTCTCTTGAAGGGAGCTCTGAGATGTGTGTGTGTGTGTGTGTGTGTGTGTGTGTGTGTGTACACATATACATGTATAAAAATATATAACATTATTTATAACATAATATATATTATTAATGTTATTTTATTTGTGTCCTCAACTAAAATAAAGCTCTCTATGGGCAGATATTTTTACTGTAGAACAATACTTGGTACATAATAGGCATTCAATAAATATCTGTTGAATGAAGGGGTGAATGAAAGAGCAAGTAGAAATGCCTTGAAATCTAATACTATCATTGTAACATAAGTAAAGAACAACCCTAAGAATCCTAAGCAGATAAATCTGGCTAATGAATTGAGTTAACTGGAAGACTCAGCATGAGTGACTGAGTATTCTGATCAAGGACACTAAAATCTCAATTGAGAAAGGAACACCAGTAAATTACACAAGGTAGAGAGGAGGCTTTGTTTAATTTCATTGGCAATATAATGCTTTAACAGAGGGTGCAATAAATCAGCACACATTTCATCTTAGAATAATCTTAAGTAGTCATTAGAAAGATCTTTAGTCTTCCTGAAGTATATACTTGAAGGTAATTACAAGCAAGGCTTGTCTCTACACTCAAGTATCTCTATGGTTTTAAAATTTCTAAGCTTATCTATAGCCTAATTTTATTAAGCTCTTCAAGTATTCTTATGGTATGGTCCATCACCTGATTTTATTCCCTAGGCTTATGCCATCAAGGTGAGGAGTTCACATTGCTGATGGTGCCACTACTTTGCAGTAAAGAATAATCAGAAAAAAGAGACCTGGGACTGGAAGTTAACAGATCTGATGTTAACACACAGTTCTGTTACCAATTGTAGGTTTGAAAAGTCACTATACTCTTCAAGTCTCAATTTCCTAATATATAGACTAGGCATTATAGCACCTGGCCCTCTTATCCTTTATTCCTATGTTAATGGGCAAAAACGAATAACTTACAATGCATTTTCTTACTGTGCTGAAAATTAAAGGTGATTCTTATGGATCTTAAACACAAAATGATAGTGTATTTGCTTAATTAACATCTTCAACAATTAATTAGTGTCCTGTACCAGAAGCTGAACCAAAAATAACTCTAGTTCTGAAGAGAAGAAAGCCATAAATAAATGTTTCTGTTCTATTAGTAACGAAGCAGAGAATACTGTCAAATATCTCTGTAAGGAATTTCAATTGCATATGACAAAGTGCTTAAAAATGGTTTTTATTTTTATCGGTGATAAAGCAAATGACACCACATACTTGTAATAGGGCTATTATTATCATCGCCTGGGGTCCATGACAGCTGAACACTTTTGTCGAGTTGATCTGTCAATTCTAAATCAAAGGGAGGATTTGGGACATCTGTAGACCAAACACACATATCATAGTTAACCATCCATCCTCATGAGGTTCTCCTTTACTTGTGATACCATTCACAGGGGGGACATATTAAAGGCACAGCATTCTGAATGGTCAATGAGCATGCAACTGAAATGAAATGGAAACAACTGAGGTTGCTGGAAACACACAGCACACTCAAGACAACCCATCAATGAGTTCTGCTTGCTTCTTTTTCAAATGAAACTAAATTACTTGTAACCAAAACCAGTGAAATGGGTGTGGATGGTTTACCAGCACTCTCAGTGTGTGTCTTCTCATAAACATGAATGAGCAAAGACAGAAAAAATTATATAGAAACTTAATTTCTAATAAATGAGAAACAGAATCGTAAGTGCTGAAAAACAAACACAGGCAAGTACACGTACAGTTTAAAGAAGCCTAAAGAAGACTCAAATTATCTTCCTAAAACATGCTAAGCTAAAGTATGGATTTAAGGGTTCCTGAAGAATATTTATATTTTAAAGAAATTATAAAATTTATGCTATACAGGTAGCTCTCAGTATCTCTTCTGAGATACTCAGTACAAGAGTCAGTCAGGCACATGGGGAGGTATGTTTACTCTCAGAGGACAGAAGGTGTCCCAGAAGCATGTCTGCCTCTTCTAATGGTGCTTCTGAGATCCAGAAAGTTCATGTTCCTCCCTGGGACTTTTCCTGACCTTGCTCCTGGAGTAACTTTGGCTCTTGGAGGAGCCGAGGCCATATAAAAATATGGGCACTTTTTTCCTATCAGTAAAGTAGCAACAAATGTCTACAAGGGACAGGTCTTCTATAGCATAATTAACAATCCTATGTAGAATCCAGCTGAGTTTGTGCCACAAAATTAATTTGTGTATTTCTACACTAAATAAAGATGAGGGTTCCTTAATCAAAGATTTCTGGAAATAATTTCTGATTTATTTTCCAGACTCAGAAAAAGCACACAACCTTAAGTACCCTCCTCTTGGTCTTTCTTTAGTGGTTTATCTTTTGTTAACATACAGTGGGTTGGTTTTCTCTGACACAAAGGTCAAATGTTCTAAACATCCATTGCTTTCCTACATAAAGTTCTTGAAAATGAAATTACAAAACATTCATTTTTTCCAAAACAACTATTAATAGACTTAAATAAAAGCTTGATTTGTGGAGTGATATTTGAAATAGCTTTTTCATTCTGTAAAATGTGGATGACAGTTTTTGAGAAAACACTATGTTTCTTTACAGGGAAATTGTGTCAAAGAGGGACTTTTATCAAATGAAATGACTTTATAATAACACATGAAATATTTAGAAGACAGTGGAAATATGTTCACTGAAAAGTTCCCAACACAATGAAGAAATGATGTACAGAGTAAAGGAGCAAAGCAACAGAACATTGGTACAGCCCCTTTCCCTAAAGAAACACAATGATGTGACAGAGAAAAGTAACTTTACTGCAAATGTGACATTGTTTGACAGAAAATAGAGAGAGAGAAGATTCATTAGTTTACCGTAAATGGGAGCTGGAGTTGGAGTAGGAGCTAGAAAGAACATTAATATAAAGGATTTTAATCACAAATTAGTAATGGAAAGATAAAAGATAGCACAAGAAGACAATGATTGAACATGATTAAGATGATAAAACTAAGCCTTATGCTTGCTTAACTGTGAGCAATGGCATTGATAAACATGCAGTAACAATTTAGGGGGTAGCCTTCCATTTTAAATAAAAGTAGATTATTTTCCCCAATTTTTATGCAAATATCACTAATATGCATAACCCCCATTTTATTTCAGTGCTGCTACAGAGTATTATTTACACTGAAATTACCGCCTTATGGATATCTTTCAAAGAAGAAAAATGTATTTAACTCACCTACAAAATTGTAAATCTCTAACAAGCAAACAATTACTTATTGACAATTTTTCCTTTCTACCTAAAACAGGGCAGCCAGTTGTGCTGTGTGTTCCAGTTCTTACCAACAACGCTAAGCACAGCACTGGCAGAAACGCTGTCCAGAGTTGTGTTGGCCATACATGTGTAGGTTCCGCCATCACTGTCACTTACATCAGCTACCTCCAAATGGTCCTTGTCAATAGTGAACCTGTGAATAAAACACATTCAGGGCAACTGAAATGGACATCTAACCACATCTGATGATTGCTTTACTGGCATGAAATAGTCAATTTGATAAAAGAGAAAGATGATGAAGATTTGCAGCACATTAGAGCTAAAATCGTACACACTATGTATCAACTTTGATAATGATTAAAGTTGGAAAACAGCAATAATGAATTATAAACATGGGTTATAAGGCTTGTTGAGTCATCTGGCCAGTGGGACTCAACCATGCCCCTGAAGTTTTAAGAGTCTCCTCAGAGATCAGGGACATCAGAGGTGAGGTGGGACAGCTCCAGTTACCTTACTCGAGGGCTTTCCTAAGGCTTCTGCTGCTAAGAAACCTTTGAACAGCACCCATCCAGCTCAATTTCTAACAAAGTGTATATTTTATTTTTAATTATTATTGTTATTATTTTTTATCCTCACCCAAGGATATGTTTTTTATTGATTTGAGAGAGAGAGAGGAAGGGGAGAGAGAGAACGAGAAAGACAGAGAGAAAGAAAGGGAGAGGGAGAGAGACAGAAACATTGATACATCTCTGTGAGAGAGAAACATTGACTGGTTGCCTCCCATATGCATCCAACTGGGGATTGAACCCTCAATCTAGGCATGTTCCCTGACCAGGAATTGAACCCTCAACTGTTCTGTGTACAAGATTATGCTCCAACCAACAGCCACACTGGCCAGAGCAGGATTCATGCAAGGTTTTAACAATTCTGTATAAAACATTAACTGTCTTTGCAGGGAATATCCAAGTTAAAGCTTTAGCCAACTTAAACTGAAGGTCATTACTTCTTATTTCCTTCTCACCTTTATCACTCAGATTCCCAAAATAAAGCTGACCAGCTGAAGTACTAAACTAGATGGAAACTCTGGGCATATAGAGAAGGCCACATAGTTCTCTCAGAGGCTATTAATAGCAATAAGGCACCATTTAGGCACCTTGCAAGCAAACCACAGGAACTATTCCCACCAACATCCAGCATTCCTTCCAACAGGGGGGCGATGCTTGGAGTTGCACTCTGATAGCTAAAATGTACACCTTCAGCTCTGTACTTACTGAGTCAATTGAGGGCCTCACCTGGAAAATAGATACCAGCTTTCTTCCAAGCTAAAGGGCTGCAACATGCTCAGGCTGTTTTAAATGTTTTCTCTTTTTATTGTCTCTAAGTAAAATAAAAAGAAAACTCTCTATCCAAGTAAAATCTAGTGTCCCTTAAAATACAAGGATTCAGGTGCACTCTGGTGATCAAAGAGATTGTAATTCTGCTTATTTGTAGGATGGCAACAAAAACTGCTGCTGAGACTTCACTGTACAGGGCAGAAAACAATGGTCTGACAGGTTTTTCTCATCCTGAATTACTCAGGAGACCAAGACACAGTGATAGACAAACATTCTCAGGGTCTTATTTCAATAATTCAATGCTTTTCCAGGTATAAATATTTACAGCAGGGAGAAAATGAGTACTTATTTTGCAAAAAGTAGACTTCAGAAACTTTAAAAACGTCATTGTTAAGTCAATATACAATAAACCTTTATTCAATACAACTTAAAGAGAGAAGCAAGACAAAGGAAATAAATCATCTTCAAATACCTTCCATCACTGGGCAGCTCACCATTGTCCTTCAGCCAGATGACAGTAGAGATCAAGGTGTGATCGTGTTTCACTTTGCATTCAAAGGACACTGTGCTCCCTCTTTGCACAACTGCATATTCAGGCTGTTTAATGATCCTAGTTGGATCTGAAATTTAAAGCTATTGTTATCTATTGCCAAAGCTGGAGAATTTACTCAGTAACCTACACTAGGCATAATTCTTGAAAATATTTTGCCACTTCTGCCTTACCTTTGATTTCTAAGTGAACTTCATTCTTTGCCATTCCTAACTTATTCCTTGCAACACATGTATAAGTTCCTGTACTGTCTTTTTGGGCCACAGGAATTTCCAAAGTTCCATTTTCATGTAAAACATAAATATCTTCACGAAGAGCACTACCTTTAGCTCCTTTAAACCTTCATTATGGAAATAATCACAATGAGAAGTAAAACACAACATAATTTGAAGTCAGACATAATATGCCAAGATCTGCATTACAGTATCAAGTTCAGAGATGTTTGGAATCTGCACAGCATATTGCATACTTGTAAGTCAGCAGGATCAACATAAAGATAGGATTTAATACTGGAGAATTCAATGATCAATGGTGCTCGAATTAGGGTGACAATACAAAATACTTAAATTGTAATTCTCATAATGAGAGATTCATAATTTTATAAACACTTTATTATACACTCTATGTTGACATAGTGATAAAATAGGCCAAGTGACGACCACTCATTTTGACCTTTCCCCCTACTGTGATGTATTGTAATTCTATCTGCAGGCTACAAGGGTTGTACTTTTGAAAGTATGACTAGAAAAATATTCAAGGAAGAAAAAAAATGACGCATGTGTGTAAAGCATGTGTACCTTCAGCTTCCTGATTAGTATCAGACAGAAGTGAGGCTGGATGAAAAGGCCAAATCAACTGGGATAATTGATAACCTGCCACCTACACTAGGAAATTACCTGCACAAGCACCCATGTCTCTGCAGTCGAAGTGGGGACCTGGGGAGATTATACTTTAATCCTACACCTGGCTTTCATCAGTAGCTGGAGCTCAGCACAGTGTCTGGCATCTGATAGATGACCAATAAATGAATGTTCCAATTCTTTTATTCATGCATTCTGAGCTGTTGCTTATGCTAGACTTGTTTCTTCCAGCTTATGCTAAAGTAAGAAAGCCAGGAGGAAGAACAGAACTTGTGTCAGGAGTGTTATGTGAAAGAGGATGTTCCAAGTGGGGAGTGAAAGGACACAGGAGAGCTTGGCTGGATCCAAGTCAGGAAATTCAGGTGGGAGAGGCAATAAAGATAAAACTAGTAATAACAAATTCTGATTTTGAACTTATAGAATTTCTTCTCCACCCAAATGATATTTTATTTTCAAGGAATATCCTCCAACCAATGCCTCTAACTACCAGTCATGAAGTCCCTGGTAATGTACGTGTATCTCCGTGGTTGACAAAGTGTGCTGTTAAAAAAATTATATATGTGCATATTTAGCACAGAGCAAGAAATTAATAAATATTTGTGAACAAATTTAACAATTAAAAACAGGATGGATTCTGCACTGCCTTTCCCCTACCTGTTCTCTGACTAAAACCCAACATATTGAGAAATTTGAAGGCTTTAGAAAATGTAAATATTAAAAATAAGTAGGGCCAATCTTACCACTCAATGGTAGGAAGAGGAGACCCGAAGAAGGCACAATCTAATAGAGCTGGCCTGTTTGCAATGACCTGATAGAGTGTGTTTGCAGATGTAAGGATCCGTGGTGGTTCAGCTAGAAACATTAAAAAAGGCAAAGCAAATATAAAATAACATAAACATTTAGACCCACCATTTATTTTATTGTGTTATGTTTTAAGGCCATTAGCATTTATGGTAAAGCATAACCAATATGCCTCTGCCCTTATGTTCTCTATCAGGTATGATACTACCAGTCACTCAAGGGGGAAAAATAAAAGTCTTCTCTCTCTGCCTCATGCCTCACATATTATCAAGCATAATATTTTAATAATTGATTTATTTATCTATATTTCCTACTATACTATGAGTACCTTGAGGCAAGGGAATGACACTTTTATTATTTCCCCCCAGAAACTAGCACAATGTCTGGCACAAAAATCATGAGTAAGTACATATTTGTTGAATGACTGGCCCATCACAATCTTAGGGTTATAATGGGGGTGGGTGGGTTGGAGTGGAACCAGCAGAAAAAAGCAGAGTGCTGATGATTAAAAAACAGAACCAGAAATCTAAACTGCTTCCTAAACATTCACCAATATCTCAACTGCTCAGCTCTTCATTTGATTTATTGATCTTCAGTTCAAGCACAAAGGAAAAATACCAAGTACTGGTTGGTTTACTACCTTTAATTTTGTTTGAAAGGGAGTTTATGACACTTAAAGAGTTGAAATATAATTCCCTAGCATCATGACAACAATTCTCAGGTAAACTTTTAATAAATTTGGTATTTTGGTTCTTTTGTCCATTATAAGGAATATAATGATTCACATAAACACACCGTTTCAGAATATGTTTGAATATGTCTTAGTTTTCTAAATGTATCATTATAAATTAATAAATAAATGCACACCTGTGACTTGAATAAAGGCCAACTATTATGATTAATGATTTATTTTAAAAAAATCAGAACTGTTATTCAAGTTGTCAGTTTCTAAGGATAGAAGAGCAGTGACATTCTGTTACTAATGGCAGATCAATGCTATTTTCCTATTGAAGGGTTGACAAGGTCTAACTATTTGTGAATGGAGCAGCCTGACTCTGATTATTTGTACAATGAAGAATATCCTATAATAAATACTGTGTTATAAAAGAACATTAAGAACAGACTGTAATACCCTTTAGAGCAAGGTTTGTATCTTACTCATCTTTCTATATCCTTACAGCTCCAAGTACTAAGCATTGCACATAGCAGATGCTCAATGCGTTTTTGTTGAATGCATGGAAAACAACAGGAGACATGGATTTAATTTGCAATGTCTTTAATAAAGGAAGAGCTTACCCAGCACATTTACAAATGCATTTCCCAGTAAATATCCATATTCATTAGAGGCATTGCACTGATACACTGCACTGGATCTTTCTTGAACATTTGAAAAAATAATTGTATCGCCATTTATTTTCCTGCTGGGGTCATCAGGGGCAACTGTTTGGGTGTAAAAATAAAAAGTATACATTTATTCCTCTTTGCTTAGAAGATGTAAAGCTTGAGATCTACATTATAGTAAGCAGAACAAACACAGATGGATCTAGGTATATTCAATACAAAGGACAAGACCAAGAACCGAGGCAGAGCCATAATATTTCTTCCTCAGACTTTAGTTATCACTTAGCAAGAGTGTACGTTTGATATTCACATAGTTTTAAGTGGATTGATTCAGCAAGAATGAATGCTATTTTGAGAGATGCAGGAACAGAAAAGCACAAGTAAGGTGAAAACTGCAATACAAATTTAGGAAAACACTGCCTTGTTCACAAAGAAACTATGGTTATTTATGAGGAAGCAAGTTAATTATTAGAGGAGAGAGCAAAAACTAGTAAAAAAAATATAGACCCTCTAGCTCATCCAAATCTTTCTATTTTAAGAGCCTCTTATTAAAATAACTAGATAAATAAATAAATATAGAACTAATAATTAAATGGGAAGATATCTATTTTCCTGTTTTGGAAATTCCTAAGGCTGACATAGAAATAAATTGTGTAACATTTCTTTTAAAGGTAGTATTTTCAGCCAAATCTCTCAAGTACTTAAAAAAAATGTCAATGCCAGGACTGATCTTTACTAAAGTGGAATGGAATTGGTTGGGTAATATATGTGAGAATTATGTCCAGGCCATGCCCAATAATTTGGAAGTGCTGTGTTTCTGAAGATAAATTCCTTTTTGTGAAGCTAAACCTTAGGCAGAGACCTTACAGTCCTGTAAACGTACACTAAAAGGGATAATAGATATCGGCCTCAGCGTGGTGATCAAAATCAAAATTAAATAACAGTAGCTTTTCTTTTACACCCCTCTTACAACTTGAACCACTTAAGTAGGCTTGACTTTAATTCTACACACCATTTTTCTCTTTGATGACCAGGAAAGTACGTGTATCTAAATCATGATTATCACTGCATTTAGACTCCTTCGTCACTTTATATTTTTATTATTTTTTATTGTTAAAAGTATTACAGATATCCTCTCCTTCTCCCCCCATTGACCCCCATCCTCCTGGCTCTGTGTCTATTGGTTGGGCATATACGCATATAAGTTCTTTGGTTTATCTCTTCTCACTCCTCCCACTCCTTATCCTTCTGAGGTTTGTCAGTCTGTTCCTTACTTCTATGACTCTGGATCTATATTGTTTGACAGTTTATTTTGTTCATGATGTTCTCTAAATAAGTGAGATCATGTAGTACTTGTCTTTCTCTGACTGGCTTATTTCACTCAGCATAAACGATGATGAGATACCACCTCACACCTGCCAGAATGGCCACCATCAACAAATCCTCAAGTGCTGGCGAGGATGCGGAGAAAAGGGGACTCTAGTACACTGCTGGTGGGAATGCAGACTGGTGTAGCCACTGTGGAAAACAATATGGTGCTTCCTCAAAAATTAAATATGAAACTGCCATTTGACCCAGTGATTTCACTTCTAGGACTATATCCTAAGAATCCTGAAACACCAACCAGAAAGAATATATGCACCCCCATGTTCATAGCAGCACTATTTATAATTGCTAAGAGCTGGAAACAGCCCAAGTGTTCATCAGTACATGAATGGATAAAAGAGCTGTGGTACATATATACCATGAATACTATGCAGATGTAAGAAAGAAAGATCTCTTACCCTTTGAGACAACATGGAGGGACCCGGAAAGTATTATAGTGAGTGAAATGTCACTTTATTTTTAAAATTTATCTTTATTATTGAAAGTATTACACATGTCCCTCCTTTTTTCCCCATTGATCCCCTGCTCCCACTCCCTGGACCCCTTTGTCACTTTAAAATCTCAAATATCTGGTTCATCTGTGAATAACTCACTTAAATAAAAGTAAGTCAAAATATAGTTATTAATCCTTGTTTTATTATACATATTCAAAGTATTGTGCTCATTTTTCATGCATAAGTTTTCTACTGCTGCTATAACAAGTTACTACAAATTTAGTGACTTAATTTCTAACTCCTTGAACAGGGTATAGATTTCATCAATAAATTACAGCAGAGGACAAAAATGTCACAGTGATCTAGGAAGTGAACTACAGCAGTGGCTAGGCAGCCAGGTACCCTGAGAATGCAGTATACCTTAAGACAGATCCTTGTTCCCGATCCCAGGTCTAATATCATCAGGGTCTTTCTGACTCACACACTCTCATGATGTCCATCCACTGCCTCAGCAAGGAGTGCTGGAACAGAGCAGCATTTCCAAGTCTCCTTCTCTGTCAATTATCCTTAGCATTTTTGGACCCAGGACTTTGGCACTACCTGTTGGGAGTCCTCAGGGGACTCTCAGTTACCCAACATACACCTCTCTGGACATGCCAGGCAGTGGAGGGCCAGGAGTGAGCGATGGGCATTTTAGATCGTGATGAGGTCCGAGGAGAGCTCTGGGCCCAATCTGTCTGGATGGGTGGCAGACTAAGAACTCCTCAGATCCCTTCAATATGTTGTGCTTTCAGAACTGATACTACCCTGTGTTGTTTAATAGCATAGAGTCCAGTTTTGCAAGATGGAAAAGTTCTGGAGATCTCTTTCACAATAATGTGAATATATTTAACACCACTGAATTGTACACTTAAAAATGGTTAAGATGGCCCTGTCCAGTGTTGCTCAGCTGTTAGAGCATTGCGTTCATACCGAAGGGTCATGGGTTCGATTTTGGTCAAGGGCATGTACCTGAGTTGCAGGTTTGATCCCTGGCCCTAGTCAGAGTTGTGTGGGAGGCAACCAATCAATGTGTCACTCTCTCATCAATGTCTCTCCCCACCCTTCTTCCTCCCTTCCACTCTATCTAAAAATCAATGGAAAAATATCTTCAGGTGAGGATTCACAACAACAAAAGTGGTTAGGATGGTAAATTTCATGTAACGTGCTTTTTTAACCACAATAAAAAAATGTTATATCACCATGACCATGGAAGATCAGCTCAATGAACAAAGCCAGTAGGACAATCTTCCCCCAGGGGAGACTCATCAATCACATCACAACATAAACCATTTTATAAAGGTTTTATGCAGCCCACAGATGCACTTATTTTTAAAATCTTCACCTGAGGATATTTTCCCATTTATTTCCAGACAGAGTGGGGGGTGCGGGGGGGGGGGGAGACACACACACACACACAGAGAGAGAGAGAGAGAGAGAGAGAGAGAGAGAGAGAGAGAGAGAGAGAATATGAGATGTGAGAGAGAAACACTGATCTTTTACTTCCCGCATGATCCTGACCTGGGCTGGGGACCAAATTGTAACTGAGGTACATGCTTTTTGACCAGAATTGAACCTATGACTCCTTGGTCCACAGGCTAATGCTCTAACAGCTGAGCCAAACTGGCCAGGGCACAGTTGCACTTTTTGATGTTATTCTTTACCTGAAAGGAATCTAACTGTCTGTACCTTATTTCTGCTAAATGGCATAGTCTTTGAACAGTTTTGGCAAGATATTTAGGAATAATATAAACCCTTTACTTAAGAGTAGTATACAAGCAGATCTCTCTCCAGGGGGTTTAGGTTACATTTTTCTTAAGCACTTACTGTGAAATGCAAACAAACCGAAGAACTGTCCCGTAACATACAGAGGCTCAGCTGGTATTTGGACAAAGAAGGAAATTGCTAGTACAGAGATTATTTGAAGCCTTTGGACTCTGTGCTGACTACCAGGTGGGAGTAACTTTCCAGCATCCAAATCTAAGTTATCTAAAGGGATGATAATTGATTCTGGAAATAATTAATTTCATTTGCCATAAATTAACATTGGAGAAAGACATTTAAGAGCATAGAATCACTGCGTATAACTTAAAGCCCTACAGGTAAGGTTCAGAACTGGGATGACAGCCTTCCAGTAATACTTTCTTTTATTCTAACTCTTCTGACATGACTGGCCAAACTATAAATGCTTCCAACATTTAGATAATGAGAATAATAATTAGTGCCATCTTACATTTATAGGGTACTATTAATTTTTAAACTCATATCTATTACATAATTTTATTTTAAAAAGAACTTTGTGAACTAGATTAACTAGATAGTACATGCATTTTGGAGATGAGAAACCCAAGACTGGGGCACTTAATGGTTTGTTTAACATGAGATCAATGCTCAGATTTTCTAGGCTAATCTGCTTTGTAAACATCTACAGAAATCTTAACATTCAGGAATAATGTAGAACAAGTCTCTAGATGAAGAGATAAATTTTCCTCTTCAATTACTTATTTTGTCCTCTACAAGGTGATACAAACTGAGCCCTTCACTTTTGAAGAAAGGAAGAAGATGCCTTGGTGGACTCTTGGGAATATCCTGGTCCATTCCTCCAACCCCTTGGCTGCTTATCAGGTATTACTGGTTTTCAATCTCTCCTTGCAATGTCAGCAATATATATAATTGTGGCAGGAGGTCTTCTGTGCATTTTCATTCTCTTCATTCCTGTCCCTCCTCATGTCTTAGAGAAAAGAAACCTTTTAATGTAATAGTGGTGTGATCTTACATATGCTCCATATGGAAGAATCTGAGATCTACCATAACTCACATGGAACACGATTACAGATCTACAAGTGTTAGACTCTCCTGTTGCCTCTGAGAACGGGAACAGGAACTATGGTGCCCACGACCTTGGCCTTGGACATCTTTCTGGCCCTGGCTTCTACTTCCACACCTTCCCAGACATTGCAAGTCACGTGATAAATTTAAAGTTCTCTTTCAGCACCAGCTTTCTACAGCTATGTTCTTTTTCCTGACTTCTGTAGGTTGCTTAAAAAATATTTTAGGTGATTTGGGGCAAATTCTATATTTAAAACAGTCTATTTTTTTGCTTCAAGAAAAGTTTAAAGTATCTGGCCAGTCCTGGGGAAACAGAGCTTTGGAAGACATTAAGATTAGAGCCTGGAAAGTTTTTGAGTTAATTCTTCCAGTTTTGTAAAACAGGTTTCAGGTCTGAAATGCACAGTCACAAATTAATAACACTATTTTGCTACGAACTCCCTCTCTCTCCCTGATCCTGCTTCTCCTCCGTAGTATTTATGTGCACTTGGCAGCCAGAGCCTGCAGAGGTGGAAGGAGTGTCAATGTCTTTATGTGACGGCTTACAAGTCAGGTGTGGGGAGGCTGTGTATCTGGAAGTATGGTTCCCTGATAGTGTCTTTGTGGTGTGGCACCTGGTGGGGATGCTACACAGCTCCCTGCATGATGATACTGCAGAGGCACAGCTGTGCCCTGCCTCTCACCCTCAGGCAGCTGGTTTACCCAAGGTTTCTGTAGCCTCTTTTGTGAAAGGTGTCAGCAAATCAGCCTATGCTTCCAGAAAATTTCTGGGGCCCAGTCTAGGCTCCCTTGAAGGTTAGGAATAACATGCTAATTCCATGCCACTATATACTGCAGCCGACTTTGCTCTCTCTTGCCTACCCCTGACTCTGCCAACCTTTCCCCAAACCCATCATTGCTGGTTGCAGCTGCGGGATGCACAATTCAGCAAACTGCAGATGAGAAACAAGCCCCAGTCCCCCATTTCCAGAATGGTCCCCAAATCTCAAAGGTAATCCTGTTTTGGAGCCTCTAGATTCATAGGGAAACTATCAACCAGGGTGGAGAGGCACAAAGCTCCTTGAAATTCTATGAAATTCTTGACAGTTTTCTTCCCCATTTACTCCTTGTGTTGGATCAGGGTAGGTCAGCACAAGGTGGGGCATGTAGGTTAACTTTGTACTTAGCTGTTTGAAATTCAGAGTAAAAGGCCACTCAGCAGAAGCTGTAGATGGTCCAGCTGCTTAGGGTGGAGGCAGAGAACAGCGATGTCCCTGCAGTCACATTCTGCAGAGAGCTATAAGGATCCCTGCCAGGTAGCTCTTTCTCTATTAGTTATGAGATTTACCCCCTCCTCCAATCCATTCACATTTAGCTTGGCCACCAAATGTGGAGAAAGACACCTTTTAGGGATGCTTTGTATCACCGTGGTGTAAATATACAGCACCTGCTCCTGGCAGGCCAGGCCCTTGTCTGCTGCCATATGCATAGTGTTTTTCTCCTTGCTCATCTACCAGAGTGACTACTCTGAGGCACACCAGAGGTCAAGGGACCCTGACTCTGTAGGCATTGCAGAATTCTGATCCTATCTTTGCTCAACCTGCTCCTCATTTCCTTCCAGTGAGGACTTAAATACTTTTGAGATGAGAGAAATGAAGTAATATAGAACCAAACTTGAGAGATTTTTGTTCTTTCTGCTCTAGACCTAATCAAATAATTTGGGATTTGGAAGGGCAATAAACTGAGTGAATCAAAAGGAAAGATCAGCTTCATAATTTAATCTCTCCTTGTTCACTGACCTACTCCCATCTCATTTTTTACTGCTTATAACTGCATTCTTGCTGCCAAGCTTGAAGATAAATCTTTTCAACATTTCCTGGCTTCCCTGGTTTTCCTGCTGAGTGTCTAGAAAGATGGCCACACCCACTTAGTTCCACTGAAGCCAGATCTCAGGTGTACATTTAACCTTCCATAGATGGGCACAGACAGGCCTCTGAGTGCAAAATATGGTGCCCAAGTGCTGAGCATGCTGCATTCTTTACTGCCACACATTCCTAAGGAAATCAGACACTGTGCTTTCACAAAACTTCATTTTAGTTCTGGGCTTTCTTCTACTTTTTCTCTCAATTTTCACTCATATGCCTCTGAGAGTGGTAACAGCTTCCGAATGCACAACCATGAAATACTTTCTGCAGTTCTTTTTGATTATGATCATGGTTAAAATTGGTAGTGAAACTATCCAAACCCCAGTTACTGAGGTTTAGAATCTGCTTTAGAATCTATTTTCTCCCAGCAGCTTTTTATAGTAAACACCGAGTATAGCCATGCACTGCTTAACGACGGGGATCCAATCTGAGGAATACATCGTTAGGTGATTTTGTTTTTTGAACATCGTAGAGTACACTTACACAAACCTTAGATGGTGTAGCTTACAAAACACCCAGGCTATATGGTATACCAGTGTAGTATATATGCCTTCCATTGTTGACCGAGAAGTCATTATATGATTATGTGATGTATGACTATATCTGATAACTACTGTGTGCCACAAACTCCTAAAAAATACTCATGGAACGGGTGCTCTTCCTCTGTCTAGACTCGCAGTTATAAGACCTTGATGGTGAGAAAAGGGGCTTGTGCCATTTCAAATCTGCCAGCAGTTTTTGGATTCATCTTAGGGTAAAAACTATTTCAGGTAAGCCTATTTAATAAACCTTTCAGTTATGTAAAAGTGAAACCAAATTTTATTCTGTCTTGAGGCAATGAGGATCCAAGCTGCTCTATATCATAAGCCTAAAAAGTTGTCTTTATTGTGAGCAAAGAGTATCTTTGAAGATTATTACATATTGACTCAGAGGGTGAACATGAGGCTGGGTTTTGAACAAAAATAGATTTTCTCTTTATGGGTCTAAGAGGAGGGCTGAACTGCAATACGAGGGAAGGTTCCAGGATTCTTCTGCAGACAGCAGTGGTGGTGGTGGGGTTGAGAAAAGGGAGACACGATGGGCTCTCGGTGGATGGCCGGGGCTTGAGAATTGGAGGCAGAAAGCTGCGATATTTGTTCTCAGTTTTCTTTTCCTTTGCTATAATCCCCTTCTACTGTCCTGAAGCCTTTAACAACGTTTTGTAAAACTGGTGTTTGCTGTGATTTAGGAAATTAATAGAAGGGTCTGTGGCCACACTTGAGGGTCTGGGCAGCAGAACAGACGCCTGGCATAGCTGGCTGAGAAAATTTTCTGGGAGTGGTCCAGGGAAAGTGTCAGGAGAGGTGTTACGCTGCAGCCAGGACTTTGTAAGAATTGCTCAAGGATGATCTCTGCTATACTTGGGAAGGGAAACTGGTCAAAGATGGAATGTCCTGCATATGCCTGGGGTGAGAGAATGTGCTCTTCTTTAGGCATTAAATGGAATATTAACCTCTGAAGCCTTGAGAAATTGGGAACATCTGGGCTATAATTTAGGAATAAAAACTCTTTAAGACAGTTATGTTTCTTATTTTTATAGCCACTGGCTCTATTCCTATCCTCCCCACCGATCTCTCCTGACTCTTATGATGTTTCCACAAACCACTTCACATTTTGAAGAAATAATTTGAACTTCTCAGCAATGTTTATTTATTTCTGACCCTGCCATTCTACCTATGATGTAAGTAAAAAAAACAAAGGAACTATTCCCAAGTCCCAATCAACACATACAATTATAGTACAAAATATTCACTCATAATATGGGTAGTAAGATAAAACTCTAAAGGTAATTTGGTGTCTGTTTAATTTATACATGACTTTCTTCCCTAAACCAAATTATTTTATCACTATTTTTTCTCTATTGAGATGTAGCTATGCCCTGAAAATATACCACAACTGAAGCCAGTCAAGAAAACTTACTTTCTATGGGCACTCCATTCGATAACCAACTAATTCTGGGTTTGGGGTTGCCGTTAGCTCTGCAGATTAGGGCCCCATCCTCTCCTGGGGACAGCACAAGATTTTGAGGTGCCATGATCCAGTATGGAGCGGCTTTATTGAGGAAAGAAAAAAAATACAAAAACTTAAATCAAGTTAGTATTCTAGCAAATTTAGTATACTGCACTATTTTAATAAAAAGTATTTTTCAACACACTTGCTAGTTTCATTTCTTAGAGTGAATAGATTTATAAGAGATACTTCAAACAATACTTCAGACTTTTAAAAGAATGCTTACAAAGACTCTATGTATTTCAATACATTTATGTATTATTTCTAAACATTTTTGATATAATTATCATCTGTTTTATATTAATTAACCATACATCACACAGGTGACAGATTTATCTAAGGGCATAGAGTAATTTACAGGCCCAGATAGGACTAAAGACCTGAATTCAAATCCTGAGCCCCGCAGAATATATGTAATTATAAAATTAGGAAGCAATTTTGTAAACTTTGCAACAGTGAAAAATTGCAAAGTTAGTATATCGAGCATTCCCACAAGCCCTTCACCTAACCTTCTCTAATGTTAACATCTTATGTAACCGTGGTACAGTTATCAAAGCAAGAAAGTAACATTGGTACACCACCATTAACTAAACTACACATTTTATTAGAACTTCCCCAGTGTTTCTACTGTCTTCTTTCTGTCCTAGGACCCTGTCCTGGACACTACATTGCATTTACTTGTCATGTCTCCTTAGTTTCCTCCAATCTGAGAATTTCTTGGTCTTTTGTGTTTTTCACGACCTTTAGACTTTTCAAGCGCACTAATCAGTTATTTTGTAGAATGTCTTTCAACTTGAATTTACCTATTTTCTCATGATTTGACTAAGGTTTTGAGTGATGGACCCTTCTGAATACATCATATCAGGGAGTATGTGATATAAACATGGCATTACTGGTTATGTTAATCTTGATCTCTTGGTTAAGGTGATGTTTGCCGTATTCCTCCACTACAAAGTTACTATTTTCCTGCTTTCTATACTCTATTCACTAGTAAGTCACTAATTTCAGCCCACATTCAAGGGTAGGGAATTTAAGCTTCATCTCCTTAAGACAGGAGTAGTAAAGAATGTGCAGACATGTGTTAAAACTGCCTCAGTAATTACTTTTTTTCGGGGGAGGAGAATACATACTTTGAGGCTATGCAAATATCCTATTTCTCCTTAAGGTTTCGTCTACTAATTTTAGCATTCATCGTTGGCTCTTGCAATTATAACTGTGGGATTGTAATGGTAATGTTCACTTTCCTTCATTCTTTCTACATTTATTAATTGAAAAATTTGAGGAGCTAATTGTTAATCTGATTTAGATGAGCTATAAATATAAATAGCCATAAGAAATTCAAGGTACCATGAATATGGATATACATTTACATTTTTATTATTGAAAGATATAATGAAAAGCATACTAACTGAGGATCGAGGACCTCTCATGAATGCAAGAGCAATACATTTTAAATCATGATATATACCTTTAACTGTAACAGAAATGGTATGATGGATGGCTCCTAATGCATTTTTTGCTATACACTGGTAATTTCCAGAGTCTGCTTCTGAAACCTGAATGATCTGCAGAGTTTTCTGAAAGTTCCTATAAAATGTCCGGTTGATGGGTAGTATTCCATCTTCTTTTATCCAGTAAATAAGTGGGGTAGGCCTGATAAAATAAATAAAGATGATGATACAAAAAAGAAGTTGACCTAACTGCTTTTGAGGATGAATTTTCATGCAAGTTTATAATAAATTCTCCATATAAAGCTAATGAGAAATATATAGGTACTTTAGCATCACAATTTAATATTGCTCAAAATCTTACATTTAAGGCTATAAGCTACCATTTTCACATAAGCAGAACTATACTAACTTATGGCGCACCACATACTTTGACTTCGATGGTGCAGTGGGAATGCCAGCATGAGTTACTGAAGGAAGGGACCTAAACATTCTCTTCAAAGTTTTGATCAATGAGGCACTTGTGGAAAATTTTACATGAAGTTAGTACTATGCCAATCAAAAGAATTACCGTGAAATGAATAATACTGAGTTAGAATTTTTTTATCAGCTAGAGTTAAAGATACAGAGAAAGAGATGATATATATATTTGTGCCCAGGAACTTTTGTACACATTTCTATATCAAATGGAAGAACTTTAAAAAAAAAAATATTATTTCATAGCAGGCTATCTGGTAATGTAAATGAATGAGAGAGATAGTGCTCTTTCCTTAATTTCATTATTAGTTATATTTAAAAATACTGTACCAATTGATAAGAACAGATTAAACTCATGTGTTACACCATTTCTCATGGTGTTTCCTATTAAATTATGAAATATAGCGTCCTGAAAAGCCAGAACACAAGCTTAAAGATCTGCTTCAAAGGCCTAGCCCTGTCCCTACATTGTTCTCTGACTTCGGATCCCTGACCTTCTTGGGCTTCAGTGTACTTAGTTGTCTTACTGGGGATAATAACGCTTGACTTGATAAAAATCCACTCAACACAAACATTTACTAAGCAATGAACTACAGACCAAGCATTGAATTTTGTGTTGGGAAGATAAAAATGAAAAAAAAAAAAAATGATCCAGGCCCTCAGGAAGATCACAATATTTGTCACTAGAAATGCAAGTGGGATTGATTGATTATTTTTAAAATTGATTTTGGTTTATTTGCATGAATAAAAATAATTGAACATATATATCTGATGAAATGGCTTCTAAAATAAAACATGCTGTGAATATAAAAAGAGGTAAAAATGTGAAATCATTCTGAAAAGCTGAAGATACTATACACGTGGAATCTGATAGCATATTATGGTGTTTCTTTAAGGTCAGATTAATCTGCATCTCATATGATGGAGAGGTAAGAGGGCCATGTGGGTAGAGGCAAGAGAAATAACTACATCATGAACTGTTCTGGAGCCCTACTACTCCACTGAGCAAGTGTTAAGAATCAGAAATATTTTGATTCTATGAGTCCTTTATTTCTTTTTGGAATTTATATAATTAATTTAGGAAAATTATCACTTCAAACCTATTTTACATTAATAATTTTGTATCCTTCTTTATTTTTATTTTTTTAAATGTTGAAAGTATTACAGATGTGCTCCCTTCCCCCCTCCATGAGTCCCCCCTCCTCCCTCCCACTCTCCTCCTGTTCCCCCCCAAACTGATGTCTGTGTTATTGGTTGTGCATATATGCATATAAATTCTTTAATTTATTTATTCCTTTTCCTCCCACCCCCTATCCCTCTGAGGTTTGTCAGTCTGTTCCCTACTTCCATGTCTCTGAATCTATTTTGTTCATCAGCTTATTTTGCACATTATATTCACAAATAAGTGAGATCATGTGATACTTGTCTTTTGACTGGCTTATTTCACTTAGCATAATACTCTCCAGGTCCCTCCGTGTTGTCTCAAAGGGTAGGAGATCTTTCTTACAGGGGCATAATATTACATTGTGTAAATGTAGCACAGCTTTTTTTATCCACTAATCTACTGATGGACACTTGGGCTATTTCCAGATCTTAGCTATGAACATAGGGGTGCATATATTCTATCTGATGGCTGTTGCAGGCTTCTTAGGATATATTCCTAGAAGTGGAATCACTGGCAGTTCAATTTTTAATTTTTTTAGGAAGCACATATTGTTTTCCACAGTGGCAGCACCAGTCTGCATTCTCACCAGCAGTGTACTAGAGTTCCCTTTCTCCACATCTTCACCAGCACTTGTTGTTTGATGATCTGTTCATGGCCGCCATTTGACAGGTGTAAGGTGGTATCTCATAGTTGTTTTAATTTGCATCCCTCTGATGATTAGTGATGTTGAGCATTTTTCAGTATGTCTCTTGGCCATTTGTATGTCCTGTTTAAAGAAGTATCTTTTCAGGTCCTCATTTTTTAGTTGGATTGTCTTCCTTTGGTTGAGTTGTTAATATTTTGGATATTAACCCCTTGTTCGATGTGTCATTGGCAAATATGTTCTTCTATATAGTGGGTTCCCTTTTCAGTTTGCTGCTGGTTTCTTTTGCTGTGTAGAAGCTTCTTAGTTTGATGTAGTCCCATTTATTACTTTTCCTTCGTTTATCTTGCCCTAGGCAATGTATCAGTGAAAATTCTGTAATGTATAATGACTGAGATTTTTCTGCCTACATTTTCTTCTAGCAGTTTTATGGTTTCATGAGTTACATTTAAGTCTTTTATTGATTTTGAGTTATTATTATTATTATTATTATTATTTTTGTATAATGTAAGTTGGTGGTCTAGTTTCATTTTTTTGCATGTCCCTGTCCAATTTTCCTAACACTATTTATTGAAGAGATGGTCTTTTCTACATTGTATGCTCTTACCTGCTTTGTTGAATATTAATCATGCATACTGTCTTGGGTCAATTTCTGGGTTCTCTGTCATGTTCCATTGATCTATAAGTCTGTTCTTGTGCCAGCATCAGGCTGTTTAGATTATGATGGCTTTGTAGTATAACTTGACATTTGGTATTGTGATTCCTCCCACTTTCTTCGTCTTTGTTAAGATTGCTGCCGCCAGTCAGGGTCTTATTTGGTTTCACATAAATTTTTGGAGTATTTGTTCTAGATTTGTGAAATATGCCATTGTACTTTATTATTATTAATATTATTATTTTAATCCTCACCCAAGGACACTTTTTTTTTTCCATTTTTTGTTCAGATAGAGTGGGAGGGAGAGAGAGGAAGAGAGAGAGAGAGAGAGAAACATCGACGTGAAAGGTACACATCAAGTGGTTGCCACCCGCACGACCCAACCAAGGCTGGGGACAAACTGCAACCAAGGTATGTGCCCTTAGCAGGAACCGAGTCCAGGTCTCTCTGGACCGCAGGCCGATGCTCTACCTGCTGAGCCAAACCAGCCAGGGCTGCCATTGGTACTTTAATAGGGATTGCATTTAATTTGTAGATTGCTTTGGGTAGTATGGACATTTTAATAATGTTAATCATTCCAATTCATGAACATGGTATACGTTTCCACTTTTATACATTTTTCTCTATTTCTTTTTTCAGTGTCCTGCAGTTTTCTGGGAACAGGTTTTTTTTACCTTCTTGGTTAAGTTTATTCCTAGGTGTTTTTGTTGTTGTTGCAATGGTAACTGGGATTTTTGTTTGTTTGTTTGTTTCCCTTTCTGGGTGTTCATGATTGGTGTATAAGGATGCTATGGGTTTCTGGATGTTAATTTGGTATCCTGCTACTTTTTCTTTTTCTTTTTTTTTATTTTTATTTATTTATTTATTTTTTTGTTACAGATATTTTACCTTTTTACCCCATTGGCACCCCCCCCCCACCCTGTCCCTGGCTTAGTTGTCCATGTCCATTGGTCATGCATACATGCATATAAGTTCTGTGGTTTATCTCTTCCCACCCCCCCACCCCCCATCCCCTCTTCTGAGGGATGTCAGTCTGTGCCCTACTTCCATGTGTCTGGGTATACTGTATGCCTCAGACTGTTATGTTCATTATATTCCGTATATAAGTGAGATCATGTGGTATTTGTCTTTTTCTGCTTGGCTTCTTTCACTTAGGATAATACTTTCCAGGTCCCTCCATGTCGTCTCAAAGGATAAGAGATCTTTCTTTCTTACCGCTGCATAGTACTCCATTGTGTATATGTACCACAGCTTTTTTATCCATTCGTCTACTGGTGGACACTTGGGCTGTTTCCAGATCTTAGCTATTGTAAATAGTGCTGCTATGAACATGGGGGTACATATATTCTTCCTGATTGGTGTTTCAGGCTTCTTAGGGTATATTCCCAGCAGTGGGATCACTGGGTCAAATGGAAGTTCAATTTTTAATTTTTTGAGGTAGCACCATATTGTTTTCCATAGCGGCTGCACCAGTCTGCATTCCCACCAGCAGTGTATTAGAGTCCCCTTTTCTCCACACCCTCGCCAACACTTGTTGTTTGATGATTTGTTGATGGCGGCCATTCTGACAGGTGTGAGGTGATACCTTATTGTTGTTTTAATTTGCATCTCTCTGATGATTAGTGATGTTGAGCATTTCTTCATATGTCTCTTGGCCATTTGTATGTCCTGTTTGGAGAGGTGTCTATTCAGCTCCTCTGCCCATTTTTTAATTGGGTTCTTTGTCTTCCTTTTGTGGAGTTGTATGAGCACTCTATATATATTGGAAATTAACCCCTTATCTGATACATCATTGGCAATGATGTTCTCTCATACAGTGGGTTGCCTTTCCATTTTGATGATTGTTTCTTTTGCTGTGCAGAAGTTTTTGAGTTTGATGTAGTCCCATGTGTTCATTTTCTCCTTTATTTCTGTTGCCTTAGGTGATGTATCAGTGAAAATTCTGCTCCTTATGATGTCCAAAATTTTGTTGCCTACATTTTCTTCTAGAATTTTTATGGATTCACGGGTCACATTTAAGTCTTTTATCCATTTTGAGTTTATTTTTGTGTATGGTGTAAGTTGATGGTCTAGTTTCATTTTTTTGCATGTAGCTGTCCAATTTTCCCAACACCATTTATTAAAGAGGCTGTCTTTACTCCACTGTATGCTCTTGCCACCTTTGTCAAATATTAATTGAGCGTATTGCCTTGGGTCTATTTCTGGGTTCTCAGTTCTGTTCCACTGGTCTATATGCCTGTTCTTGTGCCAGTACCAGGCTGTTTT